ATCTCCTCCTCTCCTAGTGCTTCCCAGGTCGGCTTTATTTCTGTCTGTGTTTCTTTGCATGCAGTCTGCTCGTGCACAGGATGGGTTTGCGTGCCTGCAGCCCCCTGTGGGTCTTGTTGGAGGGGTTGTGATGTGGGCCTGCCCCAAGGGATGCGATGGGAGTGATGGATCAGGATGTGCCCCCACGTTTTGGAGTACTGCCACAGCACAGGGGGGAGAACGGCCTTGCTTTGTGGGGCACCACCTGTAGCCCCTCTGCATGATCCATCCCGAAAAAGTCACAGCATGGAGGGGGCTGGAAGGGGCTGCCCATGCAGGTGAGAAGGCCAAGGAGAGGCTAACATGAGAGGTGGTTAGCAGCAGTCAGCAGCTACTAATTATCCCACGCTCCAGCTCGTTCTCAGGAGAGCTGCAGAACTCTTTGATCTGCCTGTGTTTTGCTTTCTAATTGGATTGGGGTTCCGGATGCTGCTGGCTGAGGGGTTTTGGGGAGCTGATGGAAAGGGAGACGTGTGTCGGTCCTTGGACAGCAGCAGGGGAATGTTCTGCCTGCAGCTGGAGGGGTGCTTGGGTCACCATTCTCCTGCTTGCCCCCATGCAGCTATCAATAGGGCTCTTTTATATGGTCTCCTAAATACCCTTTTTCCTTCCCCTGTGTGCCCCTGAGGTTTCATCCCTTTCTCACTCAAGTTTCATGGAGTGCAGAACTGAGTGCTGCCTTCCTCCTGCTCAAGAATTGCGTTAAGCTTGCATCTCATTGCTGTCCCACTCTTCCAGTCAGTGGGTTTGCTGATTTAGTGGCCTTTTTCAGTCCTTACTGCAGTAGTGAGTCTGAGTAGAACTCCAAGAACATCAGCAGGGACTGAGAAAGGTCTGTCTGCTCGAGAAAGAGTTGCAGAAGCACCGGTACAGTTAAAGTGCTGTGGATATAACAGCACGATCTCTATTATTAATCCAAATAGAACGCCTTTCTTCGGTTGAGTAATAAGATCAGAAAAATACCTCTACTCAGAACAGCTTCCAAGGTGGGAATGATGCCTGTGGCAAATATCTGGCCTAAGAACCGACCCCAAGGCCAGTTTCCAGTAAGCACCGTGCCAGCTGTCAGCTTAACCATTGACAGTCCCTCAGAGGTGGCAGCTGTGCATCCTGGTGTTCTTGGGGCTGGGGAGGACACTGTTGCAACAGAAGCAACTGCCGGCTGGAGCTCTTTGTGTGAGTGGTAGAGAAGGATGGGTTGGGGAGGGCTGTTTGCTTCCACCAGCAAAAGGGAAACTTCTGTTGTTTTCTGAGAGCAGTAACATGGTAGTGGTGGTTGCGATGAAAATGCCAACTAGATTGGAGCAATGACCATTCTTGTAGTCAGACCCAGCAGAGTCCCTGGTGAGCTGTGCTGGGTCTGCTTTCTTGGGTGTTAGCAGGAGACAGGGAGAGCCTTGCACTCGTTAGCATATAGATGTGCATCCTCATTGGAGTTTTGCTGTAGCTGTAATTAGCCCAGACCACTGGGACAGGCTCCCTGAAAGGCTGGAAGGAAGGAGTGAGCGGTTGGGTGGGAATAGGCTTGAGCATCTCCTGGATATTTACAATGGATTAGGCTTTTTATTTTAGGGTCAGCGCAGCCTTAACCTGTGTGCAGTGCTTTATGGCTAATGGCAGCACTGCTTCTGGGTGCAAAGCACATGTGAGGAATGCCTGCATGCCTGATGGACTTAAAAGGGGAAAGGGGAACTTGAAAAGATCTCTTCCCTCCACTGCTTGCCCTCATTGGTCCCAGCTTCCTCCTACCTCTTTCCAGGACAGTGAGAAATAAAACGTGTGATAGAACCCATCTTTCTGCCCCTCCAGCTGTTGGCACATCTGTTAGGAGGACGTGATGCGGGTTACCATATGGCTGCAACTGAAAATCTGGCTGCTCCCATAGAGCCAAGCTAATATTTCAGCAGGCTGTCTCTCCCCAGCCAGCACACAGAGACCCTCAGGTTGAATACTGGAGCTCTTCTTGTCTTCACAGGGCACAAAGCAGAGCAGATGTAACCCTCGTGCTGCACCATGCAGCAGTGCATTGGTGCTTGGTGGCTGTCCCCACCTCTGGAGATGGCTTATGAGCAGAGAGCCCAAATCTGGAGCTGCTTCGTGGATCGCTGCAGTCACACAGCAAAGCAAAATAGGCAGAAATAGAAGCAGGAATGCCTGAGCCCACATGCAGCAAAGTTGGAGCTTGGAAGTGTGACAAACAAATAAAGCTCAGTGCTAACTAGCTGCAGCTTCCCTCGGCCACGGGCATTTGCTATGAAGCAAAGCAATGGAAAGAGCAGAGAGCTGCACTTCTTCCAGATCACTGTGAAGAGATTGAGAGGGTCTGGCCCTGTCCATAGGTGAGGTTCAGCATGGCTGCGACAGCAGTTGTGCAGAAGCAGCAGCCCAGCTGTGTGCCAGGCACGGTTGCTCAACACCCATTTGTAGAAAGGAGGAGAATTAGGATAGCACAGCACCTGGCTGCAGAGGTGCACAGTGATTTAAAGGCTTTAGAGTGTATTAGCACTAATTAACGTGTTGGGAAGCTGGAAGCCAGCTTGGGCAGCACAGAACTTGAGCACCTCTTAAATTGGTCAGGGCAGGCTCTGCCTAGTCTTTAATTTGCCCTCTCCAGCATGCACTGAAGTAGTTAGAACTTGGTGGCACCAGAGCCTTGTGACACTTTGCTCCTGGAGGATTAGCTAACAGTTCATCTGCCGAGTCTAAACAGTTGTGCTCTCTCTGTTTGTATACACATATGAGTGAGGGGGCAGCCCACAGCTTATTCTTCTATAGATGCTGGAATGGTGCTCCATGGCCTCTTCATCCCGATGGTCACTCGTTTGTTATTGGTGTAACCCAGCAACAGACTGCAGGCCCACGGATGGTCCTCCAGAGCATCTTTTTGTTGCTGTGAGTGCAGGCAGGAAGCAAGGCAGAGGCTGATCTACAAGCATTGGGACACAGCCAGGCTTTGGATTAATGCATCATGAGCATCGTTTCACCATCTTTTGATAGAGTGAGTTTTTCCTAGCCATGGAGCAGATTAAAGTAGCACAGAAAAAAGGCTTTAAGATTAAAAAAAAAAGAAGAATCTGATGGAAGCTTTCTTCTGCATTACAGCTTTGATATCTCACGTCTTTCACAACAGTTACAAATTAGTGATAAATAACATCTGAAGAGAGAGGAATAGTAGAGAGGGAAAGATGTGGTTTTAATTGCAGTCTGGGCCAACAAAGAAGATAGTTAACACAGAGAGAAGCAGGGGGAAGCTGTCCAGTGGCTGAAACTGCAAACTCGTTTTGCTGGTGATTTCTCTAAGTGCTCTTTTTATGCATCTAAATAACAAGTCACATTTAGAAAGCTCCCCCTCCTCTTCCAGGTAGTGATTTGTGAAACTGGTGGCAGAAGGAGGAGGGAAATCCTTATCTGTTAACTTGGTGCTTGAAGCACAATCTCTCCTTGTAATGTGCTCTGCAGGACAGCTCTCTCTTTGCTGCTGTTGACACATTGAGAGAAACAAAAGGTCCGGAGTTTTGTTACAGGCTTGCGTGATGTGATCCAGAAGTGAGGGACCAAAGGATAGAAAATGATCACCATTTATTCCCTTTACTGCCACAGTGCTTCTCTGAGCAAATGAAGGATGATGCGTTCGCTTTGCTGGTGCCCTGGAAACACAGAAAGACACAGAAAGTCCTGGTGATTCTGCCCCCACACCTTACAACACATCCCAGTGGTGTGTTTGCAAAGCAGACCTGGTTCTTTCTTAAACCACGCCTGCATGGATTTGCTTGCATCTGTCTGATGGTGAATGTGTTGATGCTCATCCTGGCAGCTTCAGGATGCTGCAGATGGGTTCGGACACCCAGAGACAGCGCTGGTGCTTTATTGCAGCAGGAGGGGCTGGGAGGACTTGGTAGTGAGTTTCAGTGCCTGTAAGGGATGGATGGGATCAGCTGGAAGCTGCGCCTCCCGAATCCTTCCAAACATCACTGAGTTCTGCCAGGAAGCCTCGTGTGCATGCAGGAAGCAGCCTGGCTCACGCCATCCCCATCACAAAGCCCTCCTCTTCCAGTGCCCAATCTCTACCCATAGCATCAAGTGCTCGGGTTTGTTCAGGATCAAAGCACAGCCAGGTAGATGCTGCTTGTCAAAGACAAAGCATATTCTCTTCACTTAGGACCAGGTTCAGATTTGAGCTTGTTTTCTTTAGAGAGAAAAAGAAACTGAGCTGATTTGCAGTGGGAAAACCCTCTGGGCAATCAGCTTTTCCTGTAAAGGGGAAGGTTTCTGCTCAGAGTGTGGCCTCAATGCCTGCATCTCCCAGTGCCTCTTCCAAGCATTGTTCTTGGTTCATTAGGTGATAATAGAAAGTGATTTTTCCCCTGTCACCTTGAGAAATCGGAGGCATTAAGAATGAGAGCCTAAGCCTGAAAGCCTAAATGAGAGGGTTTGATGGGTCTGTGTATCTGCCTCCTTCATTAGAACTGGAAGAGAGGATTGCTTCCAGAGCTTGCATTCCTTGAGGATAAACAGGCGAGAGGAAGGAGCGTGGCCAGGCAGTGTCAGGAGGTGAGGTTTGGGGCTTGTTTTCCATCCCCAGACCCACTGAACCTCAGAAGGCTGTTTGCCCCCACCTGTATGGGTTGGAAGCGGTGGCTCATCCCAGCATGGACCACCAGCAGGTGTGGTAGGAGCTGGGAGCAGAGGGGCCAGAAGGAGCATCATGAGATCCTATTGGAGAGCAGATAGGAGGGATGTGAGCGAGTCTTTTCCTCCCTGGCAGGCAGGCAGGGTTAACCTGGCACCTCCTCCTGCAAGGAGATGGGAAACTCAAGGGACACTTTGGGACAAAGCTGGGCATTGTGGTGCCTGATCTGGATGGGGTTGGGATACGCAGCTCTCTTCCTTCTGTCACCTTGTAGGACCTTGTGGGGCATCTCTTGTGCTGTATTTAAGGGATGCTTTCTTTTCACTTCCAGGTAGGATTCTTCCTGCACAGTTGCTCCCATGTAGCATCCAAAGGTAGGGAACTCCGTCTTGTGAATGTGCTGAATTTCCACCAACCACATCACTTCATTTTGGGCTGTGTTGTCCCCCTGGGGCTGTCCTCGATGGACCTAAAAGCGCACCCAACACAGCTCCGAACACAAAACACAGAACTGAAGTTGGAAGGGACCTTTAAAGGCCATGTGCTCCCACTCCACCAAACAGGGACACCCATCAATGCTCAGAGCACCGACCCCGGTGTGCCTGCAGGGATGGGGAGGCACTCCAATCCTTGCACCAATGCAAAAAGCACAAAAAGCTTTTTCCTTACGCTCAATCTCCCCCCCCCCCCCCCACCTCGAGAAACCATTTCCATTCCCTTCATCCCATCGCAGCAGGATGAATTAGAAAAAGAAAAAAAAAAAGAAAAGAGAAAAGGAGGCAGCTTGCCAGTGCTGTGCCAGGCGTATCGGGGCGGGCTGGCGGTGGGGATGGCCGTGCCGGAGCCGTGCTGGCTGCCCCCCGGCGCAGCCCCGCCGCCCGTCGTTCACCCCCTCGCCCCCCCGCCGTCGGCGCGCCGTTTGCCAGCGCCTCCGCTTGTTGAAATGGGCCAAGTTCGAGGAGCGGCGGCGGTGGCGGCGGAGGAGCGGCTTTGCTCCGAGAGCCCGAACTGCGTGCAGCGGGAGCCGCGTGGAGGGGAGCCCGGCTGTGCCCGGCGAGGGGCGGCGCTCGGGGCTGCGGGCGATCCCCGGAGCTCCGGAGGACCGCGTGTGGGCATCTCCCATCAAAGCCCCGTCAAAGCGGGAGCGGCCGTCAAACCTCCCCCCCCGCCCTCCCCCCACCTCACCCGCCCCCCAACGGCGGCGGTCGGGGCAGGTGGAGCTGCGGGAAAGTTCGCCGCCGGTGCGCGGAGCCCCGCGGGCAGAGCCGGGTTGGGAAGGGGGGGAGGGGGGGCGGTGCGGAGGAGCGCAGCGTTTAATTTTAATTATGGCATATAAATAAATAAACCAGGTGTCAGTTGAAAGGAAAAGGGGGGGGGGGGGGGGGGGGCGGAAGGGGGCTGGCTGGGCGGCGGGGAGCCCTGCAGCCTGGCGAGAAGGTGGGTCGATCTGGGGGAATCAATAAGCGTGGGGCTTTTTTTCTTCTTTTTTTTTTTTTTTTTTTTTTTTTTGCAACCAAAATAATGTCTCCGGCGGCACAGACCTCTCCGAGATGTCAGGTTGCAGTCCGGAGGGGAAGCTCTGCGCACCGCACGGCAGCTCCCGGGGCTGCACCGCTCCATTAAGCGCTCCGTGGGAGCCGCGCTGGGGAGCCGGGCCGGGGGGGCTGCCCGTGGGCTGCTCCGGGGGAGCCCCGCCACCCCCGGCACCCGGGCGCCAAAGGTGCTCGTGTTGCTGCTGCTGTTGCTGCTGCTGCTGGCGCGTTCCATCCCAACTCCAGCCAGAGCCGGGGCAAGTTGAGCCGGAGACGTTTGAGCCGCCGCCGCGCTTTGGAGAGACGGGGGAGCGCGGCGGCACCATGCCTGCCATCAAGAAGGAGCGACTTGACAGGGAAGAGCTGGCCTTGGCGGCCTTCAACCAACCCATGGAGACCCTCCCCGACTACCTCGCCCCGCTGGCCGCCGCTGCCATGCCGGTGGTGGCCCCGCACCCGCCGGCGTACGAGCAGATCTTCGCCCACCGCGCGTACCTGGGCTTCCACGAGAGCCCCCACCCCCCGCACCCCCCCCACCTCCCCGAGGACCTGATGCTGGAGAGGTTCTCCTCCATCCCGGATTTCCAGCCCTTCTTTGACAACGGAGAGCCTTGCATCGAGGTGGAGTGCGGGGAGAACAAGGCGCTGCTCTACATCAATAAGTTGTGCCAGGGGAGCAAAGGACCCTCCATCCGCTACCGGGGCGAGTGGCTCACCCCCAACGAGTTCCAGTTTGTCAGCGGCAGGGAGACGGCCAAGGATTGGAAGCGCAGCATCAGGCACAAAGGTGAGGAGCCGTGCGGGGCCGTGCGGGGCGGGGGAGTCCGCGGGATGCTCAGAACCCGAGCGGTGCCTTCGTGCCCCCCGCCCGCCCCCCCCGGGTACCCCGAAGTTTTTTTGTTTTTTTTTGTTTTTTCCCCAGCCGGTTTGCGGGGGGAGGAAGGAGAAGAGGAGGAGGGGAGGTGTGCGCGCGTGTGTGCGTGTGTGTGTGTGTGTGTGTGTGTGCGGGGGGGGGG